GGGAGTTCCTGCATGGCAGGGGGTTGGACTGGATGGCCCTTGTGGCCATCCCTCAACCCTTAAAGGGGAAAGGTTGCCTACTCCTGATTTACACCTCCTTGGAGAAAAGTTAGGATATCAACATTAAATGACAATTAGGAATAATCATAAACAAAGCAGGTGGCAACCAGCTTCACAGAATTTTTCTTCAAGCCAGATATTAAACAAAAGCAGGTTGAATCATTTGATGAGAGAATAGTTTTTGTTCATTTAGCTGCTTCTGAGACTAGTACACAAAACAATAGATTCAAACTGTAAGAAAGGAAAACCCATCTAAACATTAGGAAAAGTCTTTTTACTGCAAGAAGTGTTTGACATGGAATAGACTGTCTTAGAAGATGGTAGACTTTCTTCGGAGTGTAGACAGCTATCTCTCAGGAGTACTTTAGTTGTATTTACTGAATTTATATCCTGTCTTTCTCCCAAAATGGCTTTGCATATTCATGCATGCAGGGGGTTGGGCTAGATGGCCCTTGTGATCCCTTCCAGTTTTAGGGTTCTGTTATTCTACGACTCTTTGATTCTATGCTAGTAAATGATGCTAGTTAAATGATGCTAGTTAAAAACTTGCTGGAAGACCTATGTGCAGTATGTTGTCATCTTTAGTTCAAAATTTCAAGATTGAAATGTATGACTAATTAATCTGGGCACATCTAAGCTTTAATAGCTAACAACACAGCCCTATGTATGTCAACTGCCAAGTAAAGTTCACTGATTTTAGTGGGATGTACTTCCATGTGATTGTACGTAGGACTGCAGCCTGAGATAGTTTGGACAACCATTTATTGAACCTAAACCCACCTGTTAATCTAACTAAAATAACCTATTGAATAATAATAATAATAATAATAATAATAATAATAATAATCCATTTTATTTATAGTCCGCTTCTCCCTGTGGATCGAGACAGGTTACAACAATTAGGAATAACAATAAAATACAATATACAATTAAAACCAGATTTCTAATAACCCTTATCCCAATCCCCCTCCCAATCATAAAAAAGAAAATGAAGCAAACTAAAAATAGTAACAATATAAAATCAATAGCAATATAAAATACTAATTAAAAGCAAAAGAAATTAAAAATTAGCTAAAATTAGAGGTTGTTGGAGAGGTAACTTTTTGGGGGTATGGGGGATATCAATATCA